GGTCCCAGGGAATGTGAGACAGAGACTCTTTGATTAAGAGACTAGGACAAAAATGATCTTAAAATTCTCCTTACCCCCCAACCTGCAGCTTGACTGTGTCTAAATCAACCCCAGGGAACATCTGTGCTGTATTGAAATATCTAGACAGAGGAATTCCACCTCCCTATGCAGAATTTTTCTATGGACTTTTCTCATTTGGAGAATCAGAGCATGTGAAACCCCTCACGCTTCCACGGACCTAAATGAGACTCTTTTACTTCCACGTTAAAATCTTCTACGTATTTAGAAAATGGACTCCTTTGCAAATTTTCATTCGTCCTACTGGTCTCGCCAAACGTGGGCTGCCGTGAGGGCTGGCGTGCATGGGGGGCGGGGGGCTGGTGGGGTGTGTCCATCGTGTGAGGTCCCCGTCGCCTGGAACTGCCGTGTGACAAGGGCTGCGCCCCAGGAGGGACCAAGTCTTGGCCAACGAAGCCCACCCGGCTCCCGGGCTCTGGCCGTCTGACCTAGAAACGACCGCTCGTTCGTTCTTCAAGACTCACTGTGCATCCCCCCGCCAGGCGCTGTCGTAGGTCTAGGAGGGTCTTAAGGAATACGGCAGTGCCCCTTACTCCTCCACGGGGCTAAACGCTAGTGGGGAGAAGCAGAGAAGCTAAATAACGGCAGGAAACATTCGCTGTGTCAGGGAGGCGCGAGCCTACGGGAAGGAGTAAAGCGGAGAGGGGACAGGGGACTTTGAGGGGGAGAGAGAGGAGCCGCGCCGTGGCCGCACGGCGCCTGAGTGAGGCCTGAGGTGTGGAGACAGAGGGCCAGCGGGGGTAGACGGCCCGGGGCACCATCGCGCGCGGGAGTGTCCACGGTACAAGGAGGGACCGGTGGGGCCGCACCAGGGGGTGGGGGGCCGGAGGCGAGTCAGGGGCGTGAGGGGGGCCGCTGATTTCCGAGGGCCTTGTGGGTCCAGGAAGGGATGTTGGTTTTCCTTTATTGACAGAAGCCGCGAGAGGGCTTCAGGGGACGGAGCGACGTGTCCGCCTTTGGTCTTCACGGGGTCGTTTCTGCTGCCGGGTTGTGCACAGACCGGGCGAGGTGGCTGGAACCAGGGACCCTAAGTGGGAGACAGGCACCCAGGCCAGAGGTTGCCATGGATCGGAGGGCGGAGCCGGCAGCGGCGGTGTTTGGAGGTGGGGCGAATCTGAGTGCCTACGGGCAGGTCAGGTGCACCGCAGGGTGGGGACGGGTCCCAGGGACCCCGAGGTCCGACCGGAGCACGTGGGGCCGGAGAACGCCTGTGCTTTGGCCCTTCAGGGCCCTCCTCACAAGGGTCTACTCTGTAAAGGTCAAGATCAAAAAGGGAAGAGCCACGCCGGGCCTTTCCGCTGCTTTCACTGGAACCGGCTCCGGACGCAGCCCGCGCGGGTGCCCAGCACCCACTGGCGGCGAGCGCCTGAGGGAGGAGGGACTCGCTGGCTGGAGACCCTGGGCCGGCTGGGCACGGAGGGCGGGTTCTCAGCCCCGGGAGCGCGTTAGCTCCCCCACAGGGCCGTGGTGTGAAACGGCGTGACCTCAGAGCGTGTATCACACTGAACGTCTTCAGCTCCCGGGGTGGCCCACTTCTTTGTCCCAAGTAAACTTCCGACTGTCTTTCCTTGTTGAATGCCAAGCGTTTCCTGCCAGTTCAGTCGGTCAGCAGACAGTTTAACGAGGAAGCTGGCTAAGCTGCTTCATTAGGACGCTCAGCAGGCAGCCCCGCGTTTAATTGGCGTGAAAACAGGGTGCTGGGAAGCCGAGAAGGGCCCGGCCTTCCCTGAGCTTCCGGCCGGGCTGCGGGCATGGCCCCCTGGCGCTTGCTGCTGCAGGGGAGGGAATGTTCTGTCTGGGAATGAACCGGTTTGGGCAGCAAGAGGTGACCGTAGGGCTATCCCTAAACAGAAGGACGTTCCTACGTCTGCCACGGCACCTGCCCAGCTCTCGCCCGGTGGCAGCAGGGGAACCACTTTCATTAACAGACGTTATAGGGTCGTAGGAGACAGAGAAGGAAGCCATTTGATGGCATGTGACGCGTAAGGTCACTTCCACATGCTGGCTCGTGTCAAGGGCTCCCATGGAAACAGGTAAGTCCTTTTGGTGACAACACAGCCACGGAGGGAACTGCGGCCGGGCTCCAGCCCGCCTGCCCAGGGTCCTGCCGTCAGACATGCAGGCTCCAAAACCGCAGCGACGCTGCCGGGGTGTCCAGGTCCCTTCAGTCGCCTCCGGCTCTGGGCCCCGCCCCCCGCGTGATCGCGCCAGCCCAGCAGAACGGCTTGCGCTCGGGGACCAAGACTGGCAGAAGGAAAGGGCACCCGAGATCAAGACAAGGACGTGGCCTTGGGGAAATACGTTAAAATGCAGGGTCTGGGTGTGGGCCAGGGCCAGCGGCCTGGGGTATTTTGGGCACCAAGGACCTCGCCCCTGTTTGTTTACACCACAGGTGCCTGTCCAGCTGCATTGACCGCGGGGTGGGGGGCGGGGCTTACCTCCCACGGTGAAGGGCCCGGAGCAGCCGCAGAGACTCAGAAGTTTGTACTGCTCCCTGGGAGTTCCTCTCCCCGGGCGGTGCTGCCTGCCGGCAAATTGCGTTCTGTAAGAGCTGGGTTTTTCTTTTTCTTTTTTTTTAAACCAGTGCTATTGACTTCCTCTTTCAATATTGTACTTCGAAGTTCTCCTCCCTCCTCCACATTCAATGGATGAATGTTTATTCCTTAGTTGAAAAAAAGAATCTCTGAGCTCTTTGTTATTAGACTATCCTTCAACAATGCGTCGAACTTCCTAATTTCCCAGATTCCATTCTTCGGATGATCTTGAAAGTCAGGAGATGGGAGAGAGACCAGAAAATCAGGTTTTCGCTCCCATCCGGTGACTCGGAAGTTGTTACTGAAGTGCGTGCCCTCACGTGGCACTTCATGATGCCAAATATATCGAGGACCCTTCCCTTTTCCAGCTATTGGGCACGGATGTCCGTCAGCTGTGCGTACACTCAGGGCCCCTCTTGTGTCTCGGGGGCGTCTTGGATCCCTGTATTATCATCCCTGCAAGTCGCCCTTGTCTTAAAGACCTGCCCGCCGCAGGGCCCCGAGTGGGCCCCATCTGCTGGCAGGTGTCCCTGGGACCCTGTAGGCCCGCGCTGCTCTCTCTCCCCAGAGAGGTGGGGACAGAATGGAGACATAACATGTACAACGGAAGACAAGAGCTAAGCTTCCCTTCATCGCACTGAATGTTAACGCCCCTCACGCTTTAGAAAATTCCCTGTTGGTCCCATCGGGGTGGGCGAAGGGTGCCCTCTCTACGCCGACTTGTGCGTGGCTATGGCTGTGGCCGCTGCGGAGCTGAGGCGGCGCCGCGCTGTGCGCTCCTGGAGGCCAAGGCCTGCCCTGAGCCGCCTTGGTGGGATGCTTGGGAGGGGCGGGTGTTCCACAGAACACTGGTCAAATGAGGGAAAGAAGCCAGTGCCTAAGTGTGTGACGTGGAAACCAGGCCCTTCAACGGCGACCGAAGTCAGGCCGCACCCTGAGTGCGGCGGAAGATGACTCATCGCTCGATGTACGTTAGGGCGAGCAGAGGCGTGGGAACACGCTGCTGCCGGGTGCAACCGTTAGTGCTCAAGTTGTAATGACTAAAAGGAGCAAGACAAGACCCCTTCCATGGACCCCTCATTCTTCAGGTGTGAGGCAAGGACGAACCATCTCTGTCTTGTGTGCCTGATGGAGAAACAACCAGAAACAAAGCATTAACAACCAGAGATATCACGCCAAGTCCAGGTTTGCTCTTCACTTTAAATTTAAGAACTTGATTACAAACGAAAAGTTGTTAAATCCATTCATGGAATTTGAGCGCATTCCTGAGCACGGTGTGGCAGTGTTTTTGTTCTAGGAACTCAGTGCTGTGATACCTTCAAGGCTGACTCATTTTCCGAGGTGACATCTGCTCCCTTTTTTTCCTGTTTGTGCGAGGGCTCCCTTTTCTCCTCATCTCCGCCAGCACTCGTTGTCTGTGGTTTGATCGATGGTGATAGCCATTCTGACCGGTGTGAGGTGGCACCTCGCTGTGGTTTTAATGTGCTTCTCTCTGATGGTTAGCGATGGCGAGTGTCCTTCCATATGTCTCTGGGCCTCTGTATGTCCTCTTTGGAGAAGGGGTCTGTCTGTTCAGGCCCTTTGCCCGGTTTTTAAATTGGATTGTTGGCCTTCCTGGTGTTGAGTCGGATGAGTTCTTTATTTATTCTGGAAATGAACCCCGTGTCCCTTCAAGGTCAACTCCTTGCTGCGGGGGCACATTTGCTGCTTTCGCCAGGAGCTTGTCTGAGAGTGTCTCCTGCGGACGGGCGTGTGAGAGGAGACGTGGAAGTGGCGGGAACTTTAAGTCGACCACATCTTTGCGTGTTAGACAGAAGGACATGCGCTTCATGGGGGAGTGTGTCAGGGACACAGACTCTCAGAGGAACAAGGGGAGTGACGGCCACAGAGGGGAGAGACACGCGGTGACTCAGCCGCTCCCTCAGAGAGGCGTGTCCTGCGCTCGGCCATCCCGGCGGCACAGGCACAGACCCGGGGGAGGGCTTCCCACTCTGCTCAGCACGCCTGCGTGGCCCGCGTGGGTTTCTGCTACATTCGGCAGACGACAGGAGGCTACCAGGCTAAAAACCACTTGAGAAAAGTCAAGAGATCAGGGTGTATTTCAGCATCGCAAATGTGTCCTGTTTGTTTTGTACCGGAACACAGGACTCCGGTGAGGGTGGGCTGGGCGTCAGACGTGAGCGGGGGGGGGGGGGGGCGCATGGTCAAGCCCGAGCGGACCTGGTAGCCTCGGAGCTGTGGGTTCAGAGACGGAAAGCAACCACTTTGCAACTAAGCACCGTGGGGACTCAATAGTATAGTGCTTGGTTGTGGTGCCACAAACGCTTCGCAAACAGTTAATCGGCAGAAACCAACAATAAGATATCCTAACATCTTCCTTGTCTCTAGGAGAGCGGACGCTCCCTGTCTCTTCCTGGAAGGCCAGCCCTACCCGCCATTTCTGCCGCACCCCCTTGGGCACACCCGCCAGCCTGTGGCCGCCCCGCCGGGCCCGCGGACGGGCTGGAGAGAGCAGGCAAGAGACTGACTCCTTGGGACGTGGCAGCCAAGTCCCCTCTTGGTCTCATCGACGATGCCTTCGAGCCCAGAAACATCCAGGAGGCCATCGTGGCGAATGTGGTCTCCGCCGCGTGGAGGAAGGTGCTCCCGGGGCCCTCAGAGGGAGGGGACAACTGGCTGTCCTGTGTCCCTGGAGCCCTGGAGGCTGGCGCGGGCTCGCCGGGAGGGCCAGAGTGCAATGCTGCCGCCCCGCGCGGTCACCGAGCGCTGCCCCGCTTCCAGGCCGGCCCCCCAGGGCCCCATGCACGTCGCTGGCAGCCCTTCAGGCCTGAGCCTGCAGGGATGGCCCTGGCAACCAGGTCTGGCCACTGTCTCTCGGTGGCCGATGGCACCTCTAACCCACGGCCCGGGGGGTGGAGGCGCCAACCGTGGAAGGCAGAAGAATCGAGCACGTGCCCCGGTCACAGAAACTTTTAAAAACGCCCCTTGGCAGGGCTCCTGAAGGCTGCGTAGTCGCAGACACGCGCTGGCCTTAGCTTGCTCTCCGAAGTCACTTTCCTGAGTGTTCGCAAGTCCGCACACCCACGAGCGTGGACCATTTCCCTGTCTGCCGATGCACAGAGCATGTCTTGGAAGAAAATACGCATTTTCTGGGTTGATATGCTGGCCCTTGTGTCTGAGTCGTAGTCTTCATTCCTCTTACTCCACAGACAAGGGGTAGCGTACGCAGCGGAGCACCCTGCTCAGTTACAATGAAATGTGGCCCTTTCTCCCACGGGCCTGGGTCCCGGAAGGAGTTAGTGGGGTGCGCTGTGCTGATTGCCGTCAGCGGTGGCACCGAGGGAGGGACACTGGGGAGGTGGCAATGGGAGCGGGGCAGGGAACAGCGATTATACCTAAAGATTTCCGTGGTGTTACTTTAAGCATTTCTCGGAAACATTTTAAAAATCTAATAAAATTCCAATTTTTTGCAGAGTTGAGATATAGGCATTTTCAGAAAGAATGACATTTCCGAGAGTAACATGATCATACGCTGTAGAGGGCCTTTTGAAGTGCATGGTATAGTGCGTGGGGAATAGAAAGATTTAGGGGTAGGGTTTATTCTTCGTCTGCTTAAAGCCAGCAGCCTGCCACAGGGACCGTAGGCGTGGGCTCCGGGGTCTTCGCCGGTCCGGCCGGTCTTTGCTGGGATGTCGGGTTATCTGACCCGGCGGCCGCGCCAGCTCTCACATTCCGAGGGCCTCTCACGAGCAGAGCGGCCTCGGGTGCAGGACTCAGTTTGGTTGCGCGCCGTTGCAACGTGGGATTCATGTTAGGAGCACAGTAGGCCCTTGGTGACGCTGCATGTATCACCGAAAGTCCAAAAGGGATCGCTGGGCGGCAGGTTTTGTGCTATGTGTTACGTGGAATGAGGGTTGATGTGAGTAACAAACTATTAGTGGATTTAAGGAAGTGGTGGATGGATGTGTCTGTCATTACGCAACTGAAGGTCATGGCCACTTATTTAGTGATAGAAAACGTGCCACAGAAGCCTGAGCAACAAGCAGTGTTTCTTTGGGAAGCCACCACCCAGCTGTCCTGGGAGCTCTGACGGCTGCTCTGCCGCGCCCGGAGCCGGGGCGCGCCACTTCCGGGGCAGGTCAGCCTGCGCCCGCGCCTCCTGCCCCGCCCGCAGAGCTCTGACCCCGGGGCGGCCCAGTGTGTGCCTCAGGGGCAAGACCGGGAGTGTTTTAACATACAAGACAATCTGAGGATTGAAAACTGTCTTGGGTTTTTAAAAGGGATTATTTTGCTTTGTTCTACCTTTTAACTCTTGAGCTTCATCATTATGACGGTGTCTTTCACAGAAAATAAACTTTAATTTTTTTTTCCAGAGTACAAGTGGTCCCTTAGCTTAGAAGTAAAAGAACGTAAACGGGAAGACATCGCAATAAGTTCTAGTACGACGGAGCCAATCAGATAGTAATGTATTCAGTTATGGAGAAAGATGAAGGCTTTCTGAAGTTACAGAGTAAATTGCTTTAAATTGATACAGTGTTCATTCTCTGACATTATAATATGTAAGTGTTGATCCCTAAGAGTTTCTATGGAATAGTAAGAAATAATGCCCGACAGGTCGATGAGCCTGTTGGCAAACTCTCAGGAACCCCCCACAGAAAATGCGCATTGGCGCCACACGTAGTGGTCGAATGTTCCAGATGCAACTGTTTCAAGATGTGGCTGCCCTAGCGGAGAAGACTTCCCCTGATGGGATGTGATTATACTTTGTTGCTTTTATGCATTTCAGCAGGGATTCGCATTACCCCTGGGATGTGATACGCTCCAATTCCAGATGTTGATGTGCATTATCATATTTGCTGCAAATTTCACTGGACTCAAAACAAAGAGAAGCAGCCTTTTTAAACAAATAGGAGAACTGCCAAACAACCACCCTCTCTGCACGCACTCGGCCAGAAGGCTCGCCTGTGCTGCGTCGCACTCACAAGGAAGTGCATGCCGCACGTGTGTATTAGAAATCAATGTTTCGAGTCACGCTTTGCTGATATAACTCAAAAAAGCAAAATGCCACGGTCAAATCCTCACGCAATGTTTCCTGGGTCTTCACCACCAGTTTGCTTGACAAGGAGTCGAGCTGGATCGCTTCCACTCCCGCTAACGTCTGAGGCAGGCCGCCTGCTCGCTGAGAGCGCGCGCCTGCGCGGAAGGCTGCCGCACCTGCCCGGCCGACCAGAGCAGCCTTCGCAGGGGAGCTTGTCGGTCGCACCACCTCGCTGAGGCCGCTGCTCCCCGAGCCGGCCCCCGAGGGAGCCGGAGGCCTCGTGTCACCACGGGTCGGAGAGCGGAGTGTGGCCCGGACCCCACCCAGCACCTTTCCTCGCTCCGGAGTTTACGTATCTTATCGTGCATGCGTGTGAAGTGTTGGCTGTTTAGAGGATTTAAATGCTGTCAGGTGTTCTGAGTTTTCTCGATGCACGATTCTAGTCCTTTATCTCTGTCACGCTGGGCACCTTGGCTCACATTGGGAAGGGCGCGCCCTGTTAGGATGCAAGCACAGGTGCCTGTACTGATGCATTGAAAGTCTGGGTAAAAATCGTGTGTCAAGTAGGCTCAGTCGTTACAATTAGAGAAGAACCGTAGAAATGTTTCTTTTTTTAAGACAAAGTAGATTTGCACATTTAATTTCTAGTCAAAGGAGAAGTATCTATACTGTCCACACATTTTCACTAGAAAAAGAGTGTTTTCTTGCAATTGGATTGACATTTCCACCTGTGTTTATCCCAAATACTGTATTCAAAAGATGCATACTGAAATTCAAAATTATATTAGTAATAAAAGGTAACTTGAAAATCAACCTAACGTGGCTTTTCATTTTTCCTTATAAAGAATAGTTTTGAATTAGTCTTCACCCCAAAGAAGATGTAATCTTATCTACTGCATACTACACATTTTTAAATTTTAGTTCCTACAATATCAGCTTCCAGGCACACCGAAAGAATTTCATGCTCATCGGCACCATTTGAACTGTAACATTGAAAAACTTTAGAAAAACCTTAGAAAAACCTTATCTGAAAATATGATCAATTTCAAATGCAAGTTAAGAAGTATGAGAATCCAAACATATTTTTATGTTAGTCTTTTAAAAGCACTTCCTTTATAACACATTGAAAATCGGGCCTAAGCGCAACCTTAGCCAAAGGTAAGGTGGCCTGTTAACCACACGTGACTGAAGTTCCAAAGCCGCTCTGGCCCGAGAGAACCTCCCAACAGCTTGTCCCCCGTGGGCAGCCCTGAGACCAACCTGCCACCCGAAGACTTCCTTCTCATAAAGCGTATTTGAGTAACACTTTTAGAAAACGGCTTTGGCTCTTCTCACATGACATTAAAACTATCAGCTGGACCGTAAGCTTGCCTGGCCAATCGGTGCCACGCAGTGCAACTTCTGGATACTTTCGGGGGCGAATTCTGAATAAAATAGCTGTTTTTGGCATTCTCATAAAAAATATTTTTTAGAGAGCCAGTCGGCGCTTGGAAACATAGTTCTAAACTGAGGCCTGTTCTAAAGACTGAATGACAAATGGGCCCTGTCTTAAGATGCAGATGTGGGGACAACCCTGTTTCTCCAAGGAATCCCCAGTGTGTGGTTGGGAAGCGTTTCCAGGTGCGGGGAGGGGAGGGGAGAACAAGAGAGGGAAGAGGAGGGGAGGACAGGGGAGGGGAGGACAGGGGAGGGGAGGACAGGGGAGGCGCGCGCTGCGGTCCCCAAGTGGAGCCCGCACAGCCCTGGGCGGGCGGAGTGCGGTTCCCTGCCTCACTGGATGATGACAGCCGCCCAGAGCTGTGTGGCCCTGTCCGGCTGGCCTTCACTGGGGAGGGCGCTGTCCCTACTCACTCCCACGTGGACAGGGACGTGGACGGAGTGGCCGGCTGTGCAGAGCACAGAACTCTGGAGCGCGCAGCGGGGCTGAGCCCTGACCTACCCGGAGGGGCCTCCTTCCCGCAGACGGCCCGGCGGCTTTTCCTGCTGCCCCGCATGCCACTCATTCCACAGCTCATTCCAGACCAGCACAGAGGACGGAGAAGAAGATTTTAAGAGGGAGGGGGAGGCTCCCGTTGTTCTCTGACTTGGTGGCGTTCGGCCCTTCCTGCCGGTGGAGTGCCTCTCTGCGCCCCAATCCAGACAGCTCCTCTCTGGTCTCTCGTTATGGCAACTACAACTCTGACCATCGGCAACACAAAATGCCTACAATTTATTGGAACCGGCATTTCCTTGAGGGCTGGGAAGAGGAAAGAGGGTGCTGATTTTGTGACAAAGTGGTCAAAGTTCAACGCTCAGCCCAGCCTGGTCCCCTGCCCGGCGGAAGTGGCCCAGGGCGGCGGGGCCTGGGTCTGCGCGGCCAGGACGGCGGCATGAAGCCCAGCGCCCAGTGGGGACCCGCCAGTCGGCCGCCTCGTGCTCGGCAAGCGAATATCTGGGTTTCACCTTTTCCATAGAAAGGAAGAGATTGGGAAAGAAATAAGAATGAACTGTTCAAGGCCTAAAATGCTACCACCTAGAAAAAAAATCAAGGGTATGAATACATTGCATCGATACTGTGCCTGAGGAAGTTAGAGAACTTGTAACACATTTTTATTTCACCATTACCTAGCTATAAAATTATTATTAAAACAAAACACACTGAAAGAGGGCTGTTCCAAGATTTTAAAAAAAAGGGAAAGAGTGAATTATAGCCGTACGTATAAAACATTTTTACTATTGTGAAGACATTGATACTTATGGCACAAATATTTCCCCCCAAAAGTGCATTTACTGTAAGGAATCTCCTTCCAAGCATTAAATCACCTAACTTAACATCTTCTCCAAGTCATTATTTCATCAAGGACAAGGTTTGATTTTAAGCTACAAAAGAGGGGCTTTTGTGAAGCCCCTGATGTTTAAGTTCCCTGACCAAGGGAAACGTTACATTTTGTCATCACCAGGGGCGGCCGCGGGTTCCCTGGAACGTGCTCCAGCCCTGCCCCGGACTCCTCCTCTCGGCGCAGTGAAATCACCCAGAGCTGCTCGAGGTGGCAGCCAGCCCCGAGCGTCTCCCTGCGCGGGGAGCTGCTGTAAGTGGGTTCGCTAGGGTCTGAGGCTGTAGGATGAAGCCCTGGAAAGGAGAGCGGCCCCATGGCCCGCAGACACTTAGTGACGCCTCTGGAACGCACCGTGTGGACGGGGCCCAGGAAACCCCTTGGTGGGAGCGCCCGGGGCGCGTGGCTGCACAGTGCACACCCGCCGTCAGCAGTCTCTGTGCCCCCGCCCAGTGCCAAAGCGGTGCCGGGGACCCACCAGTGGCCAAATGTGGCCTTGGTTCCCCGGGAGCTGGCCGTTCTAAGGAGGGTGTGATGTAAGGGCTCGAGGACGCCACGGGATCACACGCACAGCGACCGAGCACAGCAGGAGACGCCCACCCTGCCGCGTGGGAGGGTGGGCGCGGGGCCCAGAAGGCCTTCTGGGGGGCCGGGGGGGGGTCTGGGGCCGGGGGCTGAGCTGGGGCGCCTGGCGGGGCTGACGGCCGCCGGGGCTAGGCCCCCGCAGACCGGGGGAATGGCAGCCCACTGCTCGGCTGGCCACGGGGTTGTCGCTGGGTGACAGGGTGGGACAG